CTGCCTTGCGATTGGTGCGTCGGGGGTCGGCGGCTGCGGCGGTAGTGCAGCGGCCTCACTCAACACACACATACCTCACACACACGCACGCACGCAGCAGCCGGTCTCTGGGGTTCCTCTCTCCTTCCGCTCGGCTGGCTCTCCTTCTTGCGAGGGCACCTCTCCCGGACCAGACACGTGGAATGCCCGCCCCGCCTGTGTTGTGTTCGGCAGTGCCGCCCGGTCCGGGCCCGAAACGTGCGGATACGTGCGGGGCTTCCTACCTATCCAGCCAGCTCAAAGCATCGCCTGCCACAGCCGTGGAGGCGGCGGTGCCGGAGCAGTCGCGGACACAACTCCGCGCTGCGGTGGCACCACGCGGTGGACGCGCGTAGTGGCGCGGCGGTGTCTCGGTTCGAAAAAGCAGGTGCACTCGGAACAGAAACCAGTCACTCCTCTTGGTCACTGCACCTGCCCGGCCCCAGTCCGACTGCCTTGTTGTCTTTTAAATTATAATAAAGAGCGATAAAAGGAGATTCGTCCGTGGAGTGGAGGAGGAGGAGGTGCGGTGCGGACGGGAGGCGGCGGGCGGCAGGTGCAACTCTGGTCCAGCGAGGAGGTGGAGGGGAGGGGAGGCAGGCGGGTCATGGTTGCCGAAAACCGAACCGAACGGCCGAAAGCGGCAAAAGCGAACCGGGTCTCCGAACGGCCGAAAGCGGCAAAAGCGAACCGGGTCTCCGAACGCCGTGCGGCCGTGCGGTGGAATGCGTGCGTCCCGTTTTGTCGCACCGTGCTGGCGGCGCGGCGCTGCGCGACCGTGACGGCCGGCAAATTGCACGCCATGCAGTGTGCCTGGGAGAAAGATCGATCCTCCACCGGATCGTCCCGGGGGATTCATTGTCCAGGGTCCAGGACACACTGGTGCGCAGCCTCCTTCCTATCTCCCCCGCGCCGTCTGCGCGCCATCACGGGGCCGCCGCACTTGAGGCAGGCTGGAGTAGTCTAAACAGGACCCCTATCCCTTTTACTACCCTCTCTGTAGTGATTTCGGAGCAGCAACAACGGCAGTTATGATGAAGCAGGCCCCAGCAAGAGAGAGAGAGAAAGAAAGAGAGGCATATCTTCCTGGAAAGACATAACCCGCGCCGATGAGTTTCTGGAGGGCCAATTTCCGCAACCCGTAAACAGACGGACGGGGTAATTTTTTGTAGCCTCTTGGTCGAGCCGTGCGTGCATACACACACTCTCAGCCCCGGCGGGCCAGCGGGCCATACACAACATTTGGGCAGTATAATGTACAGACACAGCGGTGGAGCGGGTCGGAGGCTGGAGGTGGTCCCGCTCAGCTTTACAAACTGTCGATGCTGCTCTCCCCTGCAAACGGATCGACTGAGGAGAGCCTGGTCCCCGCGTGCATAAAGCGACCACCCCGACGGGTACCGGCGTACCGGCCGGGTATCGGTATTTAGCACACACGCGAGTAACACCAGAAGCTCTGCCCGCCCCGCCCATCCGGTCTCTGGGCCTGCTCCCGGCGCACGGCCTCGCCCCGCCCCGCCCCGCCCCGCCTGTCATGCCAAAGCAGGATGCTTTGAAAAATGGGACACTTTTGGGAGAGCTCCCTCGACGCCGGGCTTAGTCTAAATTTAAAATCTTTTTGGCCGACCCGTTTTATTCTTATTTTCTTTTGAGCAGTGTGCGTGCGTCGTTGACGTGATGTATGATTTTTTTTCGCGTACCCCGCAGCCCCAGCCGGCACCAAGCACCGTTACATGAGAGCTCCTTCAGTATCACGCAGATGGGCCGGGCCGTAGGGGGTTGGGAGGGGAAGGGGGGAGCTGGCAGGTGAACGCACTGCATTCACCCTCCACCTCGCCCTCCACCCTCGGCTGCTCCCCTAAAACCTAAAACTGAACCAAACCAGCTCCTTCCTGTGCCGTGCTGTGCAGGTGTGCGTAGCGTTGCGTATGGGGTTGGGGGCGGGGTCCCTTCCCTTCAGGGTCCCCACCCTCCCCTCCTTCGGGACCCGGCTCGACCGCCGTCTGGTCCCGGCATGGTCCCGGACCCGCCCCTTCTCCTGCCCCTCTTCCTGCCCGTGTCGTGTCCGTGACTACCCTCGCTGATTTGCCGTGACTGTCTGTTGCAGATGCCCTCGCTGAACCCCGCCCGCGCCCTCGGGCCGGCCTTCGTCATGAACAAGTGGGAGAACCACTGGGTGTACTGGACGGGCCCCGTGCTCGGCGGCGTCGTCGCCGGCCTGGTGTACGAGTTCATCTTCAGCCCGCGCCGCCAGCCGCGCCGGCCCTCCGACTCGATCGACGGCGACTCGAGCTCCATCCACTCTGACGAGGACCCCTACGACGACCTGGACAAGAGCGGCAAGATGCACCAGGGCATGCGCTCCGTGCAGCCCGGCGGCGACATCTACCGGCCCGTGGGCCCCGTGGGCCCGTCCACCCTGGGCTCGGCGCTGGGCTCCCCCGGCGGCGGCCCCGGCGGCCCCACCTACTGCCCTAGCCTCACCTCAGCCAGCCTCTACTCGGCGCCGCCCTGCAAACTGGAGCGCGTCGAGTCGCTCTACGGCGGCACCAAGTCCCTCTACGCCAAGAGCCCGCCGCTGACCAGGGCCAACCTCAACCGCAGCCAGTCCGTGTACACCAAGAGCCCTGGCGCCATGGGGCCCGCGCTGCCGCGGCCGGGACCGCTCGTGCCCGCGCAGTCTCTCTACCCCATGCGCCTCGGTCAAGGACTCGGCCAGGGCCTCGGCCAGGGACTCGCCTCCACCGGACCCACCCCCGTCGTCGGTGAGTGTCGAATGGTACTTGATGAGCATAAATCGTCTATTTCCCCCGACAAATCGCTAACCATGACTTCCCTCTGCCTTACAGCCCCACACTGCCTGGCCAGCCAGCAACAGCACCAACAGCAGCAGCAACAGGAGCAGGTGCTAAGCAGCGCGACGCACAGCGCCAACACCACGACGAACCAGAACGTGCAGAACCAGCAGAACGCGGCGCGCCACGAGAGCGTCTACGGCGTCCGGGGCGCGGCCAGCGGCGCGGCCTCGACCGGCATCTACGGCGTGACCACGGCGCCGCAGCCGCACCCGCCGGCGCAGCAGGTCCCGCACCCCGCGCCCAGCCCCGCCAGCTCGGCCAACTCGTCGACGGGCAAGCACGAGCGCGAGCGGCGGCCCGAGTCCGTGTACGGCATGTCCGGGCGGCGGCAGGACTCCAACGACTCGTCGTACGGCTCGTACCAGAGCAGCGCGACGGAGCGGGAGCGGCCGCCGACCGGCGCGGAGCAGCGCGAGCAGCGCGAGCAGCGCGAGCAGGGCAGGACGCCGGCGCCGGGGCACGCGAGCGGCGCCACCACGCCCGCGCAGCCCTCGGCCGCGGCCAACCCGCCCGTGAGGCAGTCCAACTACGGCCACCTGCCGCCGCTGCCCATGCAGGGCATGCCCCAGGGCATGCAGGGCATGCCGGGCCCCGGCCAGGGCGTCATCATGGCGGGCCCGGGCTCCATGCCCATGGGCGGCAAGTGCGTGGTGGGCGGCTCCATCACCGTCACCAGCAACGGCAGCGCCAACTACAGCGGCGTGCGGCACGCGTCCCACGCGCCCCACCCGCACCAGGGCGGCCACCACCAGGGCCACCACCCCGGCCACCACCCGCACCACCAGGGCCACCACCCCGGCCACCACCAGTTCAGCATGCACCACGGCCACGGCCACCAGGGCATGCAGGCCAGGCATTCCCCCAGCGTGCCCGCCGGCACTCAGTACTGACGAAGCCGCTCCGCCGAGCTGGTGGACGACCCCGAGGACGCCGTCGTCGTCGACCGCTTGGTGTAGTTCGGTTACCCCCTACCTCTCCGACAGGACTATACTCACGGAGGGCGCAGCCAACGTTGTGTCGGACTTGCTCGTGCCTCGCTCAGAATTGGGACTGGATGAGGGTCCAGTCCAGGCTTAGGAGAAGTTGTTTGGGAGTGCAGTATGGCACCCCCACAAAGTCAGTGTGTGTGTAAGTGTGAATATGATAGTTCAAATGTGCCAAAATGATAGAAATCGTTTCTCCAATTGTAGGCATGTTCTGACTGAGTTTTTGATCAAACAATGTGTTGTTATGCCCCAATGCGTTATTGTTTTAAGTTTTTGTTACCCACCTTTACCGTCCACAGCTTTGATCTGGTTTGGTTTTCTTGGCTGTTTTTATTTTTTCTGATACCATTTTTGTTCTGTTATATTTTGTGTCATTTTTTAAAATTCTGCACCATGCAACTATTTAAAAAATAATAAGTAGAGTGAACCGTTTGAATTGTTAAAAATTCTTGGAATTCATTCTTTTACATATGAGTCCTGCTATCTCCAACATAATTGACCACTCAGATCTTGCCACTCTGAACTGATGATAAAAAAAATCCATGATGTTAAAGACTACACACTAAATAATTATGAATGTTTTCATAAAACTACTATTTCAAATTTTGATTCTTGTCATCTTGTATATGTTTAACTTAAGAATAGACCAAATGCTCCTTTGTATTTGTTAGACTAGTGTCTAGTTAGCATTCACTTCCTGTATTGATAGATGGCAGAAAATTGTATGCTACCTCTAGTATATCTCAAAGAAGGAAGTTCTTGTGAACCCATCTTGTGAGAATCGTTGTGTTTGTTAAATATTTAAGTATTTAAAAGTTGATGTGATATATGTATGGTATGTAAGGTTGAAGAACTTGTTAATCGTGACTCGAGTTTGTAAAGAGTGTATTTAATTGAATTTTGTAAATTATATGTAAATTCAAACAAAACTTAAATAAAGTATCGATACTTATTTGGCATTAAGTTGTTTCCCACAATCGTTCACAGGCTGCTGGTTGGGGTAAGGGTTCTTGACGCAGACCTCCAGCACGCTAATGGCATTGTTCACGGCCCACGCTTCGGCGTTGACAGCCACGTTGTCCACGTTCCGGGGGAGGGTGAAGCCGCCGGTGAGAGTGTGAGAGTGTGGACCCGGTGCCTGGGATCCTCGATGAACAGCTTGGCGCCGAGTCGCTCCAGGGCGGCGCGGAACCGCAGAGCAGCCTGTTCGTGCCGCCTCCAGGACGCCGTCGGCCGCGAGGATGGCGAGGGCCTCGCGCAGCGCGTAGAACAAGGTGATCGGCCCCGTGTGATGGTACACAACGACAAAGCCGTGCTCACACCCACACCCACGACAGTTACATTGTATCCATACGGCCGCAATCGTCAAAATACTTTCGCGGGTTGCCGAAGCACCCCCAGTAGTCGCAGAGCTGGTGTAACGCAGGCCCACTGCCCCCCC